GATAATCAGATAATCTTAAGGTATTGTGATTTAACTGTTCAGCATGGATGCTTGATACAGACTACGTGTGTATGTGTGTGTGTGTGTGTTGATGTATGGCAGTTTCTCTGTTGGTTCTTGCCACAATTAGCCTTTATTGCTTTTACTCTAAATATTTTCAAGTATACCAGATTCCTTTCTTCTGTTCTTCCTTCCACCCGTGTGCATCAGGCCTTTTCTTGCTACATTCACACAGTTAGGTCATTGAACATACAGATACACACCTGCTCTCTGCTGGCTTCAATTCTTTTTAGGTGAGATTTTAGAACATGCCTTGAGATGCAGTGGATTGTCATATATATTAAATGTAATGCAGGAGAGGAGAAGGGGAAGATGTTAACAGCTGACTTTTGATTTGGGTTTTCAGTCCATAATATGAGACAGGACATGGCAAAAAACAAAACAAAACAAACAAACAAACAAACAAACAAAAAAAACGTGTCAAACAAGGGAATGAGAGGGACCAAAGAAAAGAGGCGGTGGCCAGACCTGAAGGAAACTACAAGACATAAAAACATTTAAGTTTGAAAGGGATAAAATTTGGAAAAGGGAGAACTAGCAGTGTTTAAGATTCTGATGGGGGAGGGAAAGCCATTGATTGGGCCTTTGAAACCATGCCAGGAACCAAGAGCCAGTGGTAGTGGCAGAGGGGACAGGTAGGACAATTAAAACGGAAATCTGGCTCCTTACAACACAGCATGGAACGGGGCTACAGAATTTGCTGCAGTGGGAGGTGGGGCCAGTCTGGCACAGTCTGTGGGTTTGAAAGGAGCTGGGCGGGTTGGAGAATGCCAGTCAGCCTTTGTAGTTCTGAGCTCAGAGAGGGGGTGACAAGTACTGGGCTTCAGGTCAGAAGCCTGGCTTGGGTGGCTTTTGGAGAAATTTTTCCTTTGCTCCCAAACTCTTAAAAGGTGCTTATCACACCACTGGCCTCCAATCACAGCGTAAGCACATGTCCCAAAGGCTGTCCTCCAGCAGAGATTTCGGCAGTGGTACCTGTTGGCTGGCTCATGGGGTCCTTTCCTTTTTCTGTTCCCTGGAAGCCATCAACTGGACTGAATACAACATCTTTGCATCTTTTTCTTCACCCTTCTCACATGCTTGCATATCCCAGACCCCTAAGGTGAATCCCCAGGACAACCTTGCTTTGGAAGAAAAAATGTGGTGAGCCTACTTGAAGATTTGGATTCCAAGAAGCCTCTGTCTGTCCTGCCTCAGCCAGAGCCGGACAACCAGCTCAAGGAGATGGGCATTTACAGAGGAAGCAGCAGTAAGTTTTTGTTGTTGTTATTGTTTGTTTTCAAGGCTTGGTTGTTCTCCAGAATTAAGTCCCTGAAAGCATGGGGCTTTCTTTTCCTTTTTTTCCCCTTTTCCTTTCTTTTTGATTTTCCTTCTTTCTCAGCAAAAATTAATAATACCCCCTTCTCCTCCTGGGAGTGATTCATAAAAGCAATTAAATTGGAAAGTTGCTTCTTCATTGCTGCTCGTAACCTGGGTTAAAGATATCTGAGGTTGATCTGTGTGTGCCTATTCTCAACACTGTAATATTTTAAAATGTATGTGCATTTGTTATGACGATTTGTGCTGATGGTTCTCCTCCAGAATAAATGCTATGTAACTGCCAGATAGATTGTCATTATGCTGCATTTGTCCCAGGACTTGCATAGATATCTTCTTTGGGGTGTTTTGTGCATATTTGCTGCTCATGAGAGAGAAGGATAGAAAGACTTTGGAAGGAGGGTGTGGTCCAGTGGATTCAGCTTCCTCCCAGCCCATCACTGACTCCTTCCTGCTCCTCCCTTTCCTCTCCACTTCTATCCCAGTTCCTCAGGTCCAACCGGAGCCAGCTGTCAATGAAATACCTTCTGCCTTTCTTTTCTATTACAGCCTGGGTTAGACTCTGTCAGGTAGGAAACTACTCCCCATATTCAAACTCATTATGTTTGTGATCTCAGCATATTTGCAAACTTAGATGTAGACCAGACAAGAGCATTTACCCTTACTGTTTCTCCCATCCTGGTATTTCTAGCCAAGGTAATAATAACAATAATAATACTGCATTTAGAAGGCCTCTAGCATATTTCATCTTCTGAGAGTCTTACAGATGTTAACTAATTAATCTTCACAACACTCCATACAAGAGAGGTAAATACTATTAACCATGATGGAAGATACATATGTATATGCTAAGGACAGCAAACTAGTTCACTTATTTATCATGGTTCACTTGATATAGTAACTGGTATTTTTAAAACACCCATCATAGATACAATAATTAGAGATGTGCTTTTGTTAACAAAGCCACTACCCACTTCTAGCGTACCCTTGGGTACTAAATAATTACCCACTTTGTGTGGTTATCTAGCTCACTAATTACCCACAGAAATTGGGGTCAGGTGTTAACTGCTTGAAATAAGTATCCTCCAAAGACATTGCTGAGTTGTATAGAGAAAATGATGTGTTCATAGCAAAACTTTCATAAGCTATATATTTGTGTATCTTTGTAAGCAGAGTGAATACAGGCAAGGGCAAATTTAGCTTATTATGTGAAAATCATGCTGAACTATTGTTGCAACTATAGAGAGGCTTAAAAGAGTCTCGGGAAATTTCATCCTCTGTTTACCTTTCCTTTTGAAGATGGGTGCAATGACATGATTCCCATAATCTGGCCTTCATATAGAAGTACACTAAGACAATTGATGGTTCTGGTTAGGAATGATTCATTTTGGTGTACAGGGAGGCACCCAGTGAGTCAAAGACTTTTTTTTTTTTTTTTTTTTCTTTTTTGCAGCTCCACCCTTCATGATTATTCTAGCTTGTTTCTTTTTTCTCCATCAGTCTAGTGAAAACACCCTGTTAGCCAAATCTGAAAATGATTCTAACCTAGTCACCAACTCCTGGCAGCCACCTCTTTCTCCTCCCCAGTAATGACAAAAAAGAAAAAAAAAGTATTAAAAAAATCCAACACTCTCTTTTTGCCTTTAGCTGTTATGCTCTCCTCGCCTTTCCTCTCTACTTCTCTCCTCTCCCTTCTTCCTCTCTCCGTATCTTCTTCTTATTTGTGCGTTTTCTTCTCCTTTTTCTTGGCATCTAGGCATGCTTTTGCAGGTCTCACGGACAGAGACAAAGCACAATTATGTCTGAGTTGAGCACAAAGAAACTACCTTTTAAAAACATTGACTTGGAGGAAACCTATATCCTCAGATACCTTTCTCCCTTCCCTTGCGATTTACAGAATCTGACATTGTATTTAACACCACACTGCCTGTTGTCTGCATGATTCTAGCTGGGAAAACTGGGTTAGAATGGCAACTTACCCACTGTATATACAGATAGGTAGAGACCCTAATTTTCAGCAGGGCCATGCTTTCCATAGCAGAGTTTTAAAAATGAATGCCAACGGAAATGGTAGGAGATGCTCCCCCAATCAACTTAGGGGTCTTTCTTTTTTCTTGTGCCTCTTTTTTTGTCATCTGAAATATTACTTGTCATTATTGGGGGACTTGAGGCTGATCAATGAAGTGTATATCTATCTGTCAGACATTTGAAGAGGAAAAACATGCTTCAGGAAAAAGGAAAATGTCTGCAGTGAAAGCAAAGGGTTAGGATGAGCTTCAGTGACTGATGAATTCATTTTAAAATCCAAGGGCACATAAATGGTAAATTAGTACATATTGCAAATACAGGCAACGAGCAAACCCCAGCCAGGGAAGGAAGGGAAATTTTAGCACTGTAGTCATCACATGCCTGAACAGAGTGTCTACATATCTTAAATGTAGATCTGAATCGCTGCTCTTTGATCCTGCTAAATGCTGATTGCAAAGAAATGTTTGGGCATTGTTGACTCTCTGTCCGTAAAGAAAAGCCACCAAGATTCACAAAATCCATCACCTGCACTCATCCATGCACGTGTGCTTTAAATTCCCCTCGGATGTGGAACAATTAGGCAGAGAACTGCACTGTGGTCTTTCTTCTTCACTTCTTTCCCTCCCTGTTTTTCCTTTTTCGAAAATGTGATACCTGATCTCTGGGTCTAGCAGGCTGAGAAATTTTTTGTATTTGTATAATACAGTGTCTGGCCTTCCCCCTGACCTGCTGATGTATTTTTGGTCTCATTAGTAGTAAGGGAGATGCCTTAGTGCATCCAGCGCTGCGAATCAGGGATGAGACACACTACAACAGAGAGAGGGAGCAAGCACAAGAGGATATTAGAAGAGAGGCTTGTCTCCAAGATATGGAAGGAAGTGAGAAATGACAGGGCTGCAAGCTTTGTATGTAGGAGCCTGGCAGGGCGGGGGAGCGGCGAGGAGAGCCAAGTGGATTCTCAGAAAAGGGGGGAAGCCATCTAGGAGCTAAAGGTGATTAGAGGGGGATATTGATTTCTTATTCTGCCAGAGATTTAAGCAGGCATGCGAGGAATCTGCACCATGGTTGGCAAAAGGAGACCCGTTGCCTCCTGTAACCAGACACTCGGGCTTTCCAGGAGCCCAGGGAGCAAGCCGAGAAGAAAGGGGGCAGTGTGGTCTAGGAAAATTCAACTTGTCGCTGATTTGTGCCTGATGCCTGCTGTCCGTCAGCAGCCTCCCTTACAATCTTTTTTTCTCTCTCTCCCTTTTTTTTCCCTTGCTTTCTCCTTCTTCACTGAAGCCTAGGGGAGCCAGTAAAGATTAAATGTGCTTCTCAAAGGCAGCCACTTCATGCTGCTATGTCGAAAGGGCCATTATTATTGTTATATTTTAATAGTAAAAGAGAAAGGGAGAAAGGTTGAGCCAGCAGCGAGTGAGAAGCTAGGTGTGATCATGACGGACTAGCTTTTCTGAGAGGAAAAGGAAAAGGGAAGGGAGAGAAAAAGGCGAGCCCCTGAGCTCAGCGGAGGATTGTGCCTGAGAAGAACCTACAGAGGTGAGAAAAAAGTTGTCTTGAAGGTGGGTTGGGGGTGGGGGTGCTAAACAGACCCTGTACAGAGGGAAAAGAGACATAATTTAGCTGTCTTGCTAGCATGATTCTATTTTTAAAGGAGGGGAGGGGGAGAGTCTGGAGCTCTAACTGTTTTTAGTTGCATATGGAAATATCTAAAAAATATTTAGCATTTTTACTAAGTGCGTTGAGGCCTCTCCGGTGTCTTCCTGGCTGTGGCTGCTTCGTCATTCTCTTTGACTAGCCAGCCATCTACCTTGCTCAGGCCTGGAATAAAAGAAGAAAAACTAAAAAAGAAAAAATGAAAAACAGAAAGAAAAAGGAGAAGAAAAAGTTGATAAAGGGTCATCTTCCCATCTGCCTCCCCTCCCTTTCCTTTCATTTTGGAGGCAGCACAGAAAAGCCCCACTTCCAGTCTGATGAGGAAAGCGACCATCGATCAGATACAGAACCAGGGGCTGTCTGCGAAGATGGAGGGGAACTATGCTTCGGATTCCTCTGAAATATTGGCCAAAGGCTTCAAAGAATCCGCAGCGGGAGGTGCGAGGGGAACGTCTCTCCCCAGCCCGCACCCAGCCCTTCCCACTTCGCGTCTACCAAATGACAGCCTGGTGCTCGCTCTTGGTGATTTGGCCTTGACTTCAGCCAAGCAGCTGATGCAGACGAAGGCTCCGTTTGCAGGACTGGCAAAGTGCACGCTAAAGAAAGAAGGAAGAAATTTTTCAAAAAAGCAGCTCTGGGGTGGTTTCTTACTCCCACCCCCGACCTTTAAAAAAAAATTTTTTTTAAAGTGAATATTTTCCAAATTTGATCAGTTCCAGCCCCTCCCTCCACTCCCACCCAACTGCCCTTTTTTCTCTCGTCAAAGCATAAGCTACAGAGTTACAGTCTCGAGATTTGGTGTATCGCTTCCTGCCCCCGCCTCCCCTCCCCGCCCCCGTTCTCCGTCCTCTATTGAAACACCTCGCCCAGCCTAGCGCACTGAGAGCTCACATTTCCCCCCCTTGCTCGGGATGGTGCCACGGGAGGCTGTGAGGGCCCCGCGCCGCTTCGAATGGGTGAGTTCAGAACGCGATTCGTATTTACACTTCCATAGCCTCCGAATCCTACCTCTCGGTCTTCTCCTTCTAAATACCCGATTTCTATGATTTTTTGCATGCGGCATGCTTGCCCTGGGGGAAAGAGATGCCTCCTATTTTCTCTTCAGTCATTCGTGCTGGTTGTAAATTAAAGCTTTGAAGAGACGTTAAGTCCTTATCGTAGACTATGGTTTAAAAAACTTGGGCATTTCCGGGTCTATTCATATTATTTTCCATTTTAGTCAACTGTGTTGCCCAAAGCTTAAAGAGTTTTTCTCGGATATACTCGTGATTGTATGTGTGTGTGCGTGATTGTATATGCGATCCCAGACACTGCGTATGCGTGTGTGTATTATGCTTAAATGGACTCAATTTTGCGAAGGAAGGGAGCTTACACAGGAAATACCATACCACCTGTTTGTTGCGTTTTAGTAATGAACCTCGAACAGAAATTGCCTGTCATTCTTGTTTTGCTTTGTTTTGTCTCAAGAAAGAAAAAAATTGTTGCGCTCCTCTCAGTCCCTGAGACCCTAACTTGTGATGTTTACCGTTTAAATCCACGGGTTAGGCTCTTGGGAGCTGCGAGTCGTGCTTTTGCATCCCGGAAATTTGGTGGAACTTTATTCTTTAAGGCAAAAAGAAAAGAAAAGAAAGTTTGTCTGAAGTGATTGAGTATACCTCTGAGGTTTTCATTGTTAGATGGGATCAGGTGACCAGAGAGTGGCAGCTCCTAGATTTCTGTTAAAGTAGGTATATATTCTGCTTTAATAGCGTGTTGGCTGCTATGTATATGTACGTATGTTATTGATGCCTGAGGCTTGTGGAACTCATCTGCATGGTCTATTCCTTGAGAGCAACACGCAGTAGTATACGAGCGTAACAAGAACAGCTCAGTACCTGGTGCTTGACCTCAGAACATCTCAGCTGAAGTCCCAGCATGCCCCATGCCTCCAACTTTCAAACTCCACAGTTAATCTTAAAATTGTGCCCAATTAAAATGGGCATGTGAATATATTATATATTCAGTGTCCACACGTGTGTATCATGGATGGCTAGACAGTGAACACACAGACGCAGATAAAGGCAAACTAACAGTTTGGACTAAAATATTAATAGCTTAAAATTCTATTCTTGCTATTCCACACAAAGGATGGAATTTATGGTATTAATAACAATTAAGTTGTATGACTTTGCAAGACATTTTAAAAATAAAAGAAGGGATACCGCCTCCTTGCTTGGAGTCTTTTACAAAATTTTATACTTTATGGATATAAAGGTAATAAAGATTGGAAATAAATCTTCTAAATATGTAAAATGAAAGCAACAACAACAGCAAACACAATTATCGTATTCTTGGGGAGTAACAAATACCGTTTTTCATTTTAAAACTAAGAAAAATTTTATCAGTACTTAAATTCAATCCAGAAAAGGTTTTATAACAACCAAACCACACATTTAAAATTATCCTTTCTTAAGGTAATGGCCAGCATTACCTAGTTTGTAGTTTTCTTGAGCTGTAACTTTTTATAACTGAATAATTTCAGTGATTTAGGTCTGTCTCATAGTTGGTGAAGGGAAACAGTAACTTACCTTTCCTTTGTTGTGAAAAATTCTAGTATAAATTTTCTTTTAAACAATTTTCATATTCTTGAGCCAACATTTCTCTTCTGTGTTTGAAAAATACCTAAATCAACCCCAATCTAAATGCTTTCTTCCGCTAAAGACTTTATGTTGGTTGTAGCCTTGTTTTGTACGTGTAGTTGAAGATTAGGGAAACTGTTCTTTGCCTGGTTTTTTTTTTTTTTTTTTTTTTTTTTTAAGTGTTTATTGTAATTTGAAATCCTTGATGCCAAATTGCAATCAAGAAACCATTTTGTATCAGAAAATTGAATTGAGAATACGAACTATGCAACAATTGCACCATGTCTTTTGTTGAAACCTCTTGTGTAGTAATATTTGAATATTACTTTCCAGCCTTTGATAGTCCGAATGTGCTTCAAAGAAAACAGTTATTTGATTTTTAAGTCATTGTTAGTTTATATTCAATGGTTGAATGACTTCCCCCATCTTAGCTGATGTGTATGCATAGGTATTTGGAAATTACAGGAAGGCATCTATTTAACTTATGGATCTATATTAACACATTATTCATATCAAATATTTGTAAAACATTTGGTGCTTTTTGAAGTTAAAATATATTTGCAGTTTATTCTATGAAAATGTATACATGGATCAATAAACACATGCCAGATATAATTCTTCTGTGATTTTCAATGATAACAGGGTAGTAATTTAATACAAGTGTTTTAGTTTGTATTTCAAGGCACTCTCAGGTTTGTACATGTTTTCAAGTGGATTGCTCATGTTCGGAGGTTGCTATCATACAACTGATCACCCAGGCATTTAAGAGTGCATAACGACACGAGATTTTATATTTCAGCAGGCAACTGCTTCAGCGCAAGGGCAGGTTTCTCAACACCCCTTCTTCCTCACCGAGCCCATCAGTGAAGTTCAGTGAAATGAATAACATAATTGGTGGTTGGTTCAATCACTACCAGTCTAGACTAGCCCAGACGCATCAATTAGAGGGGGCTGTCTTTTAAAGGGAGAGTGCAACCGAAACAAGCAGGGCATTATTGATACTGATCTTTAAAAGTGCAAATCCAGCTTGGCAGATAAAAAAAAAATAAGGCGGGGAATTGGGGTGGGGGTTCGTTGCGGGAAGAAAAGAGAAAGAAGTGAACTGGAGCTTTCGGACACAGAAGGACAGGAAGCTTGAGAGAAAAGGAGAGGATAATGAGTGAAATGCAATGCAGTACCTCCTTGGAACACACAGTTACAATTCAGTTCACAGGGCACACTGGTTCTCCGTATTTTTAACTAGATTCTCTCCCCACCTCCTTTTTTAAAATTCCTTTTTTTTTTTTTTGCCTCTGTTTCCAAAGAAATGCCAGCTAAAAACCAAGGCAGTTGGAAATTTAACAGCTCTAGGAAGCTCTAGTGAGAATAAAGTCAAATAATATGAACCAGCCAAAAGCCCTTTTGCAACATTTTTCCCCAAAAGAAAAATACAGAAGATATTTATTTTCAAGTCTCTAATTCTACCTTTAAAAAAATTGTGTACTAATGAACAGTATTCATTTTAAATCTAGCACCTGGGAATTAATACTATAGGCAAGACACCTTTAGGTAAAGAGCTCATAATTTTCCGTTGAATACAGTAAAATTGTAAAGAATGTAACAAAGGCTTTGGTAATTTTGTAGAGGGGCTTTTTGATGAAAAAAGGCAGATGATTTAGAAAGTGTTAGGAACACAGCGAGCCCCAGGGAAAGAAAATGTTTGATTGGTATTAATTAAAACACTGCTAATATATTCTAATAAAATCAAATTTAACATTCTACACTAATCCTCCTGGTATGTCAAAGGAAAAGAAAAGTATTATCTTATTTGCATCTCTGCAATCCAAATGCATTTGCTCATTCAGCAGAATTAATTTTTATCAGCAGCCTGTTTAATCTCCTCACAGATTTAGTCAAACTTATTCTTTCAAACTAAAAAGGATCAGGGTGGGGAATCCATGGAAGGTATTGGAAGGCTAGTGACTGTATTTAGTACTGGCTTTATATTTTACGATGTTCTTTCTCTTCATTCGCTATAATGGGGTGTGGAGGGAACCGGTGAGACCGCAGTGAGAATGATGAATGGTACATTTTCCTCTTTCTCTCCTTCTACCTGCCAGGCTATTTAAGAATTTCAGTTGCCAGATTATACGAATGGCATTTATTTACATGACTGGTGTTAGTCCATTGATTAATGTCTAATGTTTTTCTAATTTCAGACTTTATTTTATTGAAAATTCCTAATGAAAAAGGCTCTTAAGCCAGAAACCAATTGCCTTTCATCAGCTATTTCCAACTGTAGATCTTCTAAGGGAAAGTGGGGTAGTGAATGTAACAATTTTATTCACTAAAAACTGACTTCTTTGTTCCATTTTCAAGTCAAAATTTCTCCAGAAAATTTTCATATTTTTATGAAACACCAAGTTTTATGTTCTTTATTGTTAAACTCTCACAACTGATAAAATTATCCCGAAATGACATCATCACCAAAATGCTTCTCCTCTCTTTAGTCTACCATGACTATGATATCTTATGTAAATATGTGACTAACAACAACAAAAAAATGAATGGGCCATAAATACTGAGGGCCATATTTGTGTGTTTCCAAAGTGAGGGGTTCTGCGTACTATCAAGGAGATGTAAACTACTGACTACACTGCTGATGATGCTGCCTTTTTGCTCCATTGCCTTTTCAAGTCTTCAACGTAAAAGAGCAATCGCAGTTCGGTTTCACATGTATTGTTCTATAATCCAGGCAATAAATGCTAATTAGTAATGCTCAAGGATCCGACCATTCAGAGTAATTATCATAATTTACTTCTTCCTTGTTAAAGACATTCCTTGCTGATTAGAAAAAAAAAAATTAAATCGTCGTTTTACCATTGCACTGCAGTGGAAATGCGCTAGAGAGATGTTCAAGGTATAGTAACACCGTTGCGGTTGCATTCCAAGTCACCGACCTGTGCCTCTTAGCTTATTCCAAATGGAATTGCAACTTAATTTCTAAGAAGAAATTCATGTAAATGCATAAAGTTTGGCTTGCAGACCAGGAATATATGATTTTATTTTACAAATCCAAGGGCTCCACCTTCCTGGCCCACCCTCTTTCTAAAACCACTTACTGAACAGAACAAAGGAAACTGCTAACTATAGAGGCATCATTAAGTGTGAACTACAACAGCATGATAAAGTGTGTGATATGACAACATATTTCATTGCACACAAGTGTGGATAATTAAATAATTCAATAGTAACCCTGACTAATTAGCAGAAAGATCTTTAAGGAGGAATCAAGAAAATAGATCCGATCACCTTGAATAATGTGCGTCGTTCTCCAAGATCACAAATTTATTTTGGTTATTTGATGATTGATTAACTCATATAGAAAGATGAAGACAAAAGCCTATTTCTCAAAGCAGAACTTTGATCTGGTGTCCTCTTTAGGACAAATTAATCATATGTTTTAGAAGTGCTGAATTTAACGTAGGGCTTTCTGTTTTCAGTCAAAGATAAAATCTGCCCTTCTGTTGAATATTTCTCTTTTATCGATTCATCTAAGAAATTATCAACCCTTAGCTTTTTATATCGTTGCCTCAGAATATAGATGTAGCCTCGTCCACATTTTCTAATGAGTCTCTTGTTTAAGTTTGTTTCTCATTGCTTGAAGCAAATAAATATCATGGGCACAGAAGGAACAGAATAAATAACCGTGCTGAATATTATATATGGTGAAACCCTTCCCCCTTCCTTTATCAAGGTAATATTCCCCGTATTCATTGTTCATTGGTCCTTTAAGAGAGAGCTTTAGCTTTTACTTGAGGGTCGTAAGCACATTAGAGGAATAATTCCCTTTGGATACTGTACAGAAGGAGCCACCTGCAAAATGTTGATGCTGTTATTGAAGTCTCAAGTGGAATCAGCTTTCAAAAAATTAGATATTAGATACATCCGATATAATTTGCAATGTGTAATTATACTAATGTGCATATAGTTGTGTGTTGCTTTACATGTTGCCTACTTGAGTTTTTTTTTCTTTTCTTTTGCATTTCTCATCATTTGAAACGGTTCCTGAGTAGAATGTTTTTAAAATAAGCTTATTTTTAAAAATTCTTTTTTGATTAATATAGGAATAAGAAGACTCTACGATCTGTGTTCTTATGCAAGAATAAATATGTGTGACCTAGATGTTAGAAATTAATTATCTCTAAAAGGGTTATCACCGTGGACACTTGCTTAATATGTAGAATATTTGCTACTCTTGATTGATTTAGTCTTTTTCCTGACTTTAGACAACTTGAAATAATGAGAATTTTAGGATAGTGAATGTTATTCATTTGTTTCAAGAAGAAATTCATTTCCTTTGTTGGAAACAAGATCAAATGCCAGGGAAATGACCTTAGGCAGAGATAATAATTTTAATTTATCCAGGTTAATCAAAACAATAACAATAATAAACAAGTTTTTTTATTGTTTTTCACTGTTTTGCATGGCACATGTTGGACACTGAAACTCTGCCTTAGGTTATTTATGCACTAGCATCAACTTCCCTTTTGACATCTTGACATGATGCCCAAGGTCTACTAATGGCCCCACTGGAGAGCCTCCTTCCAGGGAACTGAACCCTGAAGATCTACCTATTAAGGAATAAGCCAGGCATAGCAATACTGAGTTGGTTGGTCAGCCTGGTAGTTGGCACTTACCATGTGCTCAGTAGGCGAAGAGACTCTTGATGCAAATTTGGAGAATCGTTACCATCAGGTCAGAGAGAGACCCTGACCAAGGCAATATAAGGGTCTCAATTTATGCTTTTGTGTTTGGAAGACAAAAATAATTCTAAGGGAGGCTTATATTGAGATGATACAAGGTATGACTCATTGCAATTGAGTAAGTATACAGCCCAAAGAAAGCTGATTTGTAAAACAGTTGACTCATAGTAGACACCTAGAATATGGTCATTCACATATTTATACTATCCATTTCTCAAAATTTGATTTCATAATGGAGTCCCTATTACAAAAGATATTTCGCGTAATGTATAGCTACATAATACCAAAGCAATACAAAGCTTACTTTTCACCTGCTCATGCATTCAAGGACTTTCCATCATTAGGTATCCAAATGAGCCAGAAAAAATTGTGTGAAATGTTATTCCTTAATACATAACATTTTAATTTATTTAAAAAATGAGTTTTACAAATGTGTTTCAAAAGCTTAGCACCCCATCATCCTTGTCAGTGTTCACAAAATAATAAATTCTAAAATCTTTATGATGTATATTTAATTGCTCATTCAAGATCAGTTATCGCAAGCTTAATTAGAACAGAAAAATATCTATTAACGTTTAACACTTAGTTATTTTACATATCAAAAACATATTATACCTGCCATCTAGAGAGCCAGCATCCTCAGTGTATTCAAAGTGGTTAGCTCAAAAAGCAGTGATGTGTTATAGTGTACCCCTTCTGGTGTGCCTAACTTATTAGACACCTTCATTGTGTAAGCATGATAAAGAGGTTAATGATAAAGTCTTCAGTTAAATTAACATCTACCTGCAAAGTGTATTTTATTCCTAACAACTTTTGTAAAATCAAAAAGAGAAACATTAATAACAACTCTTCTCAAATACCCTTATCTTTAAAATGCTTGGGCTGGATTACTTGGGCTCTAAATTCTTTTACAGCTTTAAGAATTTTTGAAGCTATTCTAAAGTATGGAGGCATAGGAACAACTCCAGGACGCGTGAATCCAGAGCTCATTTTTCCAACAGTTGCCCTTCAAAGTTATATTTGATTCCACCTCCACGTTCTGTATTTACTAACATATTTTGCATTGATGCTAAAACAGTAAAGACTGGAGTTCGTTTTCAGGAAGGGGCAGTGACAGAAAGGAAGAACAGCTGAAGAATGAAAAAGGCTGCACAGTGGGAGAAGAAATTCTTGATTTGAGTTCTAAGCCCATTTATTTCGATTAACATTAACATAGAAGAAACCCTGACAAGCACCTGCCTTTCTATTTTAAGACTATATTCTTTAGTCCTGCCTTCCTTTAATTTCTTGCGGTATGGTTTGTTTTTTTTCCACTGGATTAACTCCTTTGAGTTTCACATTTTTCCTTCCACTTGATTCATTTGAATCATCTTAATATTCCTCTCAGAAGCCTACAGTAGTTATATTAACATATCATACTTCCCAAATTAAATCTTAACATGTTCAAAGCCACCTGGAAATTGCCCTACCCCATTTTCTAAAACCACTCAGAATGTGTAATCTCTTCTTGAATTAAGTGAGCCTGCTTTCTCTGGCTTCCAAGTCATTGAATATGCTCGTACCCTGCTTTTTCTTTCTGCATAATCTGTCTCTCCACCTCTTCTACACTTTGGAAATCTTCTTCTTTATTTTTCTTTTTCTCTCCATCCTTCTCTTCTTTTTTTGTTCTCTCTTCCCTCCTTCCTTTCCTCCCTCCCTTTTTTCAATCTTTCTTTCTTTCTCTTTTTCTTTCTCTTTCTTTCTTTTTTTCTTTATTTCTCTTACTTTCTTTCTCTTTCCTTCCTTCCTCCCTCCCTCCTTCCTTCCTTCCTCTTTCTTTCTTTCCCCTCCCTTCCTTCCTTCCTTCTTTCCTTCCTTCCTCTCTTTCTTTTTCTTTTCTTTCTTTCCATATCATGTTCTGTAGCAGGCACTGGGAATACAAAGACAAGTACAAGGAATTGACAGTACCTAACAATTCTAGTGACTTCACTCAGCCCTGCATTGCTAAGCAGTTATGTACCCACAGCTATCTTACTTTGCTTTTACTCCTGGGATTTATTTGAATGTGTCCTCAATGTCTTGTGTTCTTTTGTTTTTTTTTTTTTCCCTATGTTTCCTATTTCAGTAAGTTCCCTGTTAGATAAACCTGAAGCTTTTCTTACCTAGCATTTTCTCCCAGAAAGAGCTTAGAGTGGTATCTCACACACAGTCAGGCAATGCCATTGCTGACTGATTCTTTAGGGAGGGGAGCAATGTAAAACAACAGCATTTTTCTAGTGATGCAACATTTCATCTGTAGTTAGACCTAGTTCGGTCCCCACAGTATCATTACATTTATTTATTTTTATTAAAGAGTCAATGTGATAACTTTCTGTGACATGTTCTGTTATTTTTTCAGTTGTGTTTATGTTCCTTTCAGCTGGTCCTTTAGTCCCCCTCCTCAGGAATGTCTCCCCAGTACAAAGACAAAGACTGCAGAGACTGCTATATTGATGGACCCTCAAGCCAACTATGAAGTTGAAACAAAGAAAGTGATCACCTGAAGACACCTCCTCTGCTAAGCAGCACCCCCAAATTGTGCAGCTTCAGCCACTAGGACTCTCAGAACAAGAGGCAATCTTTTCAAGAAACAGAAAAACTCAATAATGACATCTAGATTTTCATGACCCAAGAACCTTCCCTTCCTCATGTGTATTCCTCTGTTTGTACTTAAATTCATGTGACATTCATTTTTTTCTAATATGGATATGCTTATTAATGCACTTGTTTTAAAATCCCAAATTGCACACATATGTTAATATTTTAAGAAACAAAATTAATCCTACAAGGAGAATGATTTTTCATCACACATAGGGTTGGATCTTAAGAGTGGCTTACAGAACAAAAAGAACTTTTAAAATAAAGTAGTCAGAGGCTATTCAAAGGGTAAAATAATCATACTATCACATTGTTCCACTTGACACTAACCAATCAACTATTTTTTTTTAATCAAGAAAGGTAGATTCTATGAGATAAAATCACTGCTTCTAAAGAGCTTAAATCTGATTATAAAAAAGTTATAGAAACTTTTGAAAAGATAAGTAATAGATAGGGTTGGTAGAGGTAAAGTCAAAAACAAAACCAAGCAAAAGATGAGTTCAGGGGAGTTTGTCATAAAGTTGGCAAAACTGGCTTATTTAGGGAAGAAAGTTCTAAAAGAGGAAAGTATGTGATGAACCTTGAATGATATCAAAGATTTAGATAAATGGAAAGGAAGGAGAAAATGGAGTTCTTTAGGTGGATGTAATTGGAGGAGAAAATGAACACTCACATCTTGTCGACTTAACCCCAAACATTCAGCAGCTCTCTATAGCCAATAAAGGGTTTGCACACTCACCTCCTGTCTCTCACCCCAGGTATTACCTAGAATTATTATATTTCCCTTCTATTAAAGTAAGTGAGGGTGATTGGTGACAGCATGGAGAACTATGATTTTTCCATTAACCTAATAATAATTGGCATTTATTGAGTTCTGTTAAGCATTTCACATATTAACTCACTGAAGCCTTATGACAACTGTGCAAAATAGGTATTATTATTCCCATTTTACAGGCAAGAAAACTGAGGTTTAAGTAACTTGCCAAAGCACCATATTCAGGGCTTACATTCAGGATTGCAATTGCAAAGCTCATGATCTAAAGTGCTAGGTTGCAATATTGTAATCAGTGTCACAATTATTATTCCTTTTTGTATACCTTGATATTTTTCCATGGTAAGCAAATAGCTATTTCATTTGACAGTCACCTCAAACTTTTCAGCCTTCTAGAGTGAGAGAATGTATTTTCATGATAGAAATTGAAAAAAAAAATGGGGGAATGAATTTCATCAGCATTTCAGACTTTTTTTTGCAAGACTTTGATGAGATTGTTTACTTTTATCTACATGAAATCCCAAATCCTTGAGAATAAAAAAGGGAGAGGTTTAAGTCACTTGTTGCAATGCCCTTAGAAATAGAGGAGATAAATCTAAAGCCCATAAATTAGGAGTGACTTACAGAAGATTGCACTTTGGGGTGTGGCTTAGTAAGGACCAGAAACCAGGCCCTCCATTTCACTGTCAGTAGCTCTTGCATTCGTCCGCCCTTGATAAATTCAGTGTGCAGTGTGCACTTGAATTTTATCATTGGAAACAGTCTATCTAGGTAGTAACCAGATAGTGCCTGGTAGACTGTTTCTGTTCTATACTTCACTTTGGTTTCCTACCTCAATGTAAAAAATAGCTAGCAATGAAGTCTAGAAGTTGTTAATGGTTCATCCCCCCACCACCAAAGAATGTCCAAAGTCTTATTTGTATAATGTCTTCAATGGTATTTTTAAGTTATTTTGAATTCTTAGTTCATATACATAAATCATACCTAACGAGCATCTTCTGGACCAACTTTATGCACAGTATATGTTTGTAAGTGCTTCTGCATGAATGTTTATACATGACTGTTTCCATAGTACTTAACATTTTAAAAAATATTCAATCATTTCCTATTCTAATTTTCATGTATCCATGTAACTGACTCAAAAATACTTCAGCCATAAAAAGCTAGAACTGAGCAAATCTCATTCTTGTTTTCCATCCCTTTTGCATGTGGCTGGCATTTAGTAATGATTAATAAACGTGGTCAGCTGAATAACAGAGGTTCAAGACACAATTCTGTCTCAAAGGAGTCAGGTAAGCTGGATCCACTTATGGATAAACATCTAAATGTGTGGAAGTATCTGATATTTGACTATGGTAAATTTCCACTTAGCTAGCTCACATTGTCAGGCTTAGATCTCCTCATGGCTCTGGCCATCCTGTTTTCAACATGATAACTGTTGGCCACATCTCACACAGTTCTCATGAAGTGAGTTCATAAATAAACAGAGTTTTTTTTTTTTTTTTTTTTTTTTTAAAGAGCAGCCAAGCACAAAGTGTAACTTTGTTGACATTTTATGTGACTTTGTCATGTGTTTCTAACCCCCAATAAAAGCAATGTTGCATCAACTGTGAACTTGTGTTGATTTATTGAAAAAGCATGCTCTTATAAGTTGTTTGTTTCCACTAGTGTATATCAACGGTAGTTTCAGGATCCACAGGAACAAGTCATCTAATGTGACAGGAAAATTTAAATGTAGAGACAACTTCTAAAGGATCCCACATTACCTTTAAATAAAAGGTACTGTCATCTACCAAGTCAGAAACCAAAGTCTGATCCTTGTCTCTTCCAGTTCCACCAGCAATGGTCAATTACCCACGTAATCTTTTGATTTTTTTCCTTCTTTCTGTTATTGAAATACGTCTACATCTCTCCATCTATGCTACTGCAGTAAAGAACAACCCTAATTTCTCTCCTGGACTTCCTTACCATGACTCCAGTTTTCTTCACACTGCCAAGGGGCAGCCAGGGAATTCTCTCTAAACCACAAATGTGATTGTATTATTCCATGGCTTCAAACTCTTCACTGGCTTCCCATTGCCCCTGAGACACCATGACACCTAAAGCTCTTCATGTCCTCATCCTGGTTCCAACAGTCCTCTCTGGACTGATCAACTCCTCAGCCTCTCTGTGATTCTAGGCTCCTGCCATACACCTGCCTTTTCTTAATGTTCTCGCTATCTTCTGGGCTTTCTCACACACTTCAGTTTCTGCCTAGTACTTTTTCCACTACACCTTCCAGACTCCATCACTAATCCTTCACATTCCATCCTAGACGTCGTTTTCTCTGGGAAGTTTTCACCCCAGCTTCTACCACCACTAAGACTAGCTTCCCTACCTAGGGGCTTTCATGTCATTCTGTGCTTACCTCTTGTTAGCACTTACCACCCAGTGTTGTGCTCATATTCAAATAGGAGATTCTAGAGCTGCACCATTCAACAAGGTAGCCACTCACCATATGTGATTATTTCAATTTAAATTAATTAAGTAAAATTTAAAATTTAGTTCCTCAGTTGCATTGCTCACATCTCAAGTTCTCAGTAGCCACAAGCAACTGGTGGCCACTCTATTGAACAGAACAGATACAGAACATGTCTATCGCTGAGAAAGTTCCACTGAACAGTGCTGCCCTAGAACATAAATGCTATTTTTTGCTTGTGATTGTATCCTCTAGACTTGCAGCCCTTTCTTAACTGGGGTTTGTCATGTGAACCACAGAGAACAAAAATATGATTTGAATGATATTTTCTCAATTCTCCCAAGAATGATGTATAAAAAAACACAAGGTTATATGCAAAGGAAAGAGCATTAGGGTTCAATTCTAGCATAAAATCCTGATCAGGAAAGTCTACAATAGCCTAGCACCATGCTTGGCATAAAAAGTACTTCATAAATGTCTGCTGAATAAATATTACAACTGGACACTTGAGACAGTTCATTTATTTTCACCTAGATGTGTAGAGTCATGTAGGAAACATGTCTTTAGATTCCGAAGGGCCCCTTCTCTAGAGAATGTGATAGATGATTTTTTAAAATTTCATCCCAACAATAGGTGAATTGTATCGCAAAAGATGATCTATTATTTCACTTTCCTTTGATATTTACACAGACCAAAAAAAAAGAAAAAGAAAAAGAAAAAAAAAAGAAGAAGATTGAGCTCTTAAGTGAATGAGATAAACGTAAAAGTGATTCAAGTAGGTAGCCGATTTGATATGCCCTACATCTTTTAGGAATTGGCCAAAGTTTACTAAAAACATTAACTATTTACTGAGCACCTGCTATGTGCTGGGCATTTTGTTCAATTTTGAGGGTACAGGAAGGGACAAGATGGACACAATTCTCGCACTCACAGTAGATAACACTAATATAATTATTTCACTTCCCCACTATATCCAAAAGCAGGAGTTTTAAACCTTGGCTGTACTTTGTAACCACCTGGGGAGTTTCAAAAATACAGATACCTGGGTCTCTCAAAAGATTCTGATTTAATTTGTGTGAGTGTGGCCTGGGAATTGGAATTTTCTGAAGCTCTCCTGGAGATTGGAATGTGCGGCTAAAGCTGAGAACTATTGATTATAGGAACATAATCTTAGACTGAGCTCAGAAAATCCAGAGTTTTCAGTATTAATAGTTCTTAGCATATTAGAACTAAAACCATCTGTCTAACACATTTTTATTTATTCCTCAGAATATAAACTGATACTTAACAGTCACTGAGTTGTCCAGGTCAAAAAGCCAGGTCATGACTGAGATAAGACCTGACCCCAGGTTTCTGATTTTAACAAAACACTCTTCTTGTTACGCTAAACTATCTCAGGGAAGTGGAAAATACAATTACCTTCAAGTGACAAGACAGCCAATATCCACTGTGGTCATAATTTTTAACAGCAAAATTGAATTTGGACCAAGTTGAATCCCATATATTCAAATAATTCTGCTAATCAAATGCAAAAATGCAACTCATTAAAAACATGTGTGTGTGTGTGTGTGTGTGTATATATATATATATATATATATATATATATATATATATATATATATATATATCTCCATAAAGAGGATACAGAGGAGGCTCACTTCCCCAGGAATCATAAGCATATCAAATTCAAAAATCAATATATATATATTAAACTCCACTAGAATGATATTTTGCCTTTCAACTTGAATTAGTCAGTAGCAGAAATGGTAGTGGGAAGACAAAATTTTAAAAAGCGCACTGTGCTCCCACATTATCTGTCCCCACCCAACTTATTATACGACATTCTATTCCATTTCATATTTCACAGTACAGATAAAATTGACAGTCTGTCCCCATGAGAAAAGTTGACATTAAAAAATAACCACTATAAAAAATAGTTACTTCTCGCAGTTACCACCATGCACCACTTTTAGATTCTACTCATAGATCAAGAGAATCCCGGAACTCTGTCATCAAATCTGCTCTGCTCTATCCATATAAAACCACATAGTAAAAATGTGCCATTTCATATTTTAAAGGCATCAGAAGAAAACTAACGTCCACATACTTCCTTCAAAATGCATTTCAGTGTTTGAGATTCTGCACAGTTGGGAAATTCTTATTTCTATTCCAAATCCCTCACGCTGTAGTTTAATCCCATTTTCTCTTGTTCCCTGTGGAGAGAAAGAACAGCCAGCCTCCATTCTTTTAAACTCAATCCCTTCATGTCCTTAAAGACAACTACCTCCCAGCCTTCTCTTCTCTGGAATAAATAAGAACAGTTCCCATCAGGAAAAGTTTCTCTTGGATTGTGCATATTCACGGCCATATCACATATATTCATGCTCATCACATAACGCTCATAACTAAAACAAGCCAAGGCCAAGAGCAAAAACAAGCAAATGTATCATTGTTTTCATGAATGAAGTTACAGAACCAATAATAGACACTGAATAAATTGTTGAAAATGATGATCTTTCAATAATTATGAACCAAAATTATCATAATTCCTTTTAAACGCATTGGCAATGTGTTGCTTTTGGAGAGGTGAATTAAAAATTAAATGATTAGGTTTCAATTTCCTTTATGCAAGTTCTCCCCATGCCCTGCAATGGAATATTCCATTCAGCATTCCACAGCGGGAGCCACCATTGCTTTGACAAAAATAGATACAGTATTGGAACATTCAGTCAATGGAGTAATCCAATTGTCTGAACATTCTTTTCTGCTTTGTCATTTACATTTTAATAAATCCCAGAATATGTCAAGCTGTATCCAGTCGTACGAAGTGTAGCTAACCACATGCAGTTACCAGATGCAATGAGGGAATCATAACATGCAACTCCTACAATGAATCAACATTTGGTTTGTGTGTATTTTTAGGCTCCTACATTTTAAATAGGAATACTCTTAAAAATGAAAAATAGATATTTTGAAAAATCTGTTAGTATATTCAGCTTTCACAAAGGAAGCTGTGGGCAAAGGTGCTCTATTTAATTGATCTAGGAATTCTGGCATCTGCTGACATCAAGGACAACACTATATATAGATAACAACAATGTGGAATGTTAAATTATTATCTTATGTCTATTTCTCTGCCAGTTTACTGTCTCTCCGTTTAGGAGATTCAGATAATCATATTTTAAAGACATGTGACATTTGACATTCCATGATATCAAGACTTCAGGCAAACTAGTCCTAAAATACGTGTGTGTGTGTGTGTAGTTATTATGCATATATGCATAACTTAGTCCATGCATATAACAGCCACCAAGTTTTTCAAGACTTTGAGAAATTTCTTATCCTGGCTTATAAAAGCCTAGTGAATTTTTGCAATGGGTTTAGAGCTGTAATGATGATGAAATGAGCCTCAGCATGTTGGGGATCCCTAAGCAGCAGGTACATGCTTAGAGAGGAGGGTTGTCCAAAGATGACATTATTAAGACTAGTCTCTCTTAGTAAAAATCACATGAGACATTGGCTCTGGTTATACCCTTTGTTTGTAATTATCTAAGTCACTTAAGTTAGCCCATCAGGTAAGTCCCATTTTAGGTTTTTCCTCTCAACCTTCTAATTATTACCCTTTAAGATAATGACTGCCAAAAATCCCAGGTTGTTTGCTGGCATCAGGTAAATCTGATTAGCATTAAACTTGTGATATACTCAAGGACTAAACGGAACCATGAAAAAAAATTTTGTTTATTTTTTTGCTGGTGCTTAGAGCACTTCCAACGCTTGCAGCAGGGATTGTGAGCAGTGCATCACGATTATTGCAATATCCAGGGTTAGGTATTGTGTTGAGGAGACTATATCATAGCTCACCAATAGTGGGAGGGAGAAAATTAAAAGTCCAGTAGCATTGTAATGCACAAGTGATGTTGGCAGAATTTCTTGATTCCCAGAGTTTTCTCTTACTCTGCTCACAGTGTGATAGTTGGTAAGTTAAGTGGAAAAGTAGGAACAAGCCAATGGCAGAATAATTGCAACATCTTGAAGGCCTCTAGGGAAGGACTTCTGCAACTTCCCCATGCACTTGCTCTCATAAACTACTATAGTAACTGGGGAATATGGCTCATTCAACAAACTTGCATTAATAAACTAAGCAATCAACATTAGG